CAGTTCTACCCCCGAAGTCTACTGGCAGGTATGTCTCAATTACCCCCCACACCTCCGGAATACCAGTAAACCGAAAATAAGCGGCAAAAGAGGCTCATTCTTGAACGCAGGTACTTCCATCGCTAGGGGCATCTGGAAAGAGCCATCGCGCCGAAGATGGCGCGGAGTCGCTAGGCGCTCATGTCGAAGGTCCATTCATCAGCCCTGGTCGTAATGGCGTGCATAAGACAGAAGTTCTTCGTGCAGCAACATGCTTCGAAGATGTCATCGCTTGCTATGGCAAAGACAACCTCACCGGCCCATTCAAATCAGTGCGCATGATCACAGCAGCTCCTGAGGTTGGAGACATGCTGCCGAACATTCCCTCCCTCACATCAGAGGATATCATCTACTCCATTGGCCACTCGGACGCAACGTACGAGCAAGCCCTCACCGCCACCCAGCAAGGCGCCACCATGATCACGCATCTTTTCAACGCAATGCGCCCCTTCTACCACCGGAACCCCGGTATCTTCGGCCTCCTAGGGCAGAATGAATGCCCGCGACCATTCTACGGCGTCATCGCCGACGGCATTCACCTGCATCCCACCTCAATCCGCATTGCCTACAACGCCCACCCCAAAGGCCTCATCCTCGTCACTGACGCCATGAAGCTATGCGGTCTCCCCGACGGTATCTACGACTGGACCAATGGCGAGCGCATCATCAAGAACGGCGCCCGGCTGACCCTCGAAGGCTCGGACAAAATCGCCGGCAGCTCAGCCACCCTCATTGAGTGCGTCAACAATTTCCGTCGCTGGTCAGGCGCCTCCACGGCCGAGGCGCTCAACGCAGCTTCCGCCACCCCCGCACGCCTTCTGGGTTTACAGGGCGTCAAGGGGTCCCTGGAGAGTGGCGCGGATGCGGACTTGCTTGTGCTGGATGATGAGGAGGACCCCTTCTCGGGCCCCACCTTGACTGTGAGACAAGTCTGGAAGCGCGGAGTCAAGATCTATGATACCGGCAAATAAGTTGCAGTGCCTTTTGACTTGCGCACACGCTGTCTGAACGAGTTATGCGCTGCAGAAATTGTTTGGTTGTTACTCATTCATGCGTTATGCTCGAATTTCGATCTCTCTAGCAGGCTTGGGAGTTTTGGTTTGGATTATGCTGCTCGTTCCTTCTTGGCTCGCGTCGGTTTAGAGACTTGCATGGAGTGGGCTCCCGTGTGCTCTGTTCATTACCTTTCTTTTTGTACTTGGGTCATTACAACAACCGGGATAAAGTAGACCTCCCACATGGATAGTAAATAGAATGTCAATGATAGATACAGGCCACTTCGGTTCCTTTATGAAGATCTATTTTGTTTCTACATTGGTGTACTAGGCATATTTTTTGAAATAAACTCTATTTCTATTCATTTCGATATGTCTGGTGCTTCCTGCGCAACATGCCAGCGCTATATAATACAAGCAGATCGTGACTTGGGATGAATGACAACCCAGATCACACTGTACATAGGATATTGGTACTGCAACAGCAACCAAAACATCCAAAAAGACAAGCCAGGATTTCAAACAAAGGACAGATAACTGTATATCCATGAACCTTCCCCTGACCTGGTGATTCTTCTTCGCTTTAAAATCATCAATCATAAATCATGTAAGGCAAGCCGACTCCATCGCATATGCATGCATCTGTCGATCGAAGCTAACGCCCTCACTTGGAGACTACACATGCAAAGAAAAAATCTCAATCGCTTGGGTCATGCATGCGCCGTTCCATAATCAACTCCCTGCACTTTAGTTCTATTTTCCTTTTAATTTTTCGGTTTGGATGAAATCGCCATGCGCTTACAGACGGGGCTGCTCGCGCTTCCATCCGGCCTCTTCGGCGATGAGCTCCGCAGCACGCTCGCCAATGGCCAACACAGTCAACATGGGGTTGATAGTGGGCATCTCAGGGAAGACACCGGCATCGGCGATACGAACGTTCTTCAGGCCACGGACCTTCAGCTTGGGGTCGACGACGGCCATGGGGTCGCGAGTCAAGTTACCCATCTTGGTAGTACCAGCGGGGTGGTAGACGGTGTGGGCAACACGACGACCATACTCGGAGAGCTCCTCGTCGGTCTGCACGTTGGGGCCGGGGGCAACCTCACGCTTGATCCAATCCTTGAAGGGCGACTGCTTGGCAACCTCACGAGCCGCCTTGAGACCAGCCACGATGGTAGCGGCATCATAGCCCTCGGGGTCAGTGAAGTAACGGAAGTCCAGGGCCGGCTTGACGCTGGGGTCGGCCGAGGTCAGGTAGATACGACCGCGGGAGCGAGGACGAGGGATGTTGGGGGTCATGCAGAAGGCATCGACCGGAGTGTCGTAACCCAGACGCTCGGTGTTCAAGCAGAAGGGGATCTGGTAGCAGTGCATCATGATGTCGGCAGCACGGCCGTCGAAGCCATCGGCGTTGGGAAGCTCACGACGCAGGAAGATACCAGCGTCAGAGTCCATGGTGGTCTGGTTGGGGGGAACGGGGCGGTTGAGCTCCCAGATGATGATACTCTCGGGATGGTCGAGGAGGTTCTCACCCACACCGGGGATATCCTTCACAACGGGAATTCCCAGGCCAGACAGCTGCTCGCGAGGTCCCAGGCCAGACAGCATCATCAGGCGGGGGGTGTCAACGGCACCAGCGCACAGGATGGTCTCCTTCTTGGCGCGCAGGGTGTGCTTGGCGCCCGACTGCAGGGTCACATCAACACCGGTCACGGAGTCTCCGTCAACATTGACGCGGGAAACCCAGGCATTGGTGAGGATAGTCAGGTTAGGACGCTTCTCCTCGCCACGAAGGATGGGGTGGATATAAGCGACACTGGCGCTGCTGCGACGACCGTCATCGGGGTTGTAAGAGACGGAGAAGAAACCAACACCCTCGGTCAGTTCACCCTTGGAGCGGATCTCCTTGTTGAAGTCTTCGATAACGGGGATGTTCATGGCGGATGAGCAAGCCTGAACCCAGTCCTTGCACAGCTGGTTGCGGTGACGGTTGTGGACGGGCTGAACGGTGTTGCGCAGGTTGTCCAGAACGCGAGTGAAGGTCTCGAAAGACCAGCCAGTGCAGCCGGCCTGCTCCCATCTCTTGCAGTCGTATTCGAAGGGACGGAAAGAGATCAGTGTGTTGTGGCTGGAGCAACCGCCCAGAACCTTCGCGCGGGAGTGACGGATGTGGCTGTTACCTGTAAAGTAGAATAGGGCATGAGAAGGATGATCTGCGATTGATGGTTGTTCGGATGCAAGGGGAGGGTTTTTCACAACATACCCATGGGCTGTTCAACGGTGGGGTAGTCGTAGTCCAACTCGCCGCCAAGCAGGTTGAGCCACTCCTTCAGCTTGAGCACGCGATCATCCATGAAGTCGCTGGGGCCACCCTCGATGATGAGGATGCGCTTGTTGGGCAGGTATTCAGCCAGACGACTGGCGATGACACAGCCAGCTGTGCCACCTCCGACGATGACATAGTCGTAGCTGTTGACATCGCTAGCGGGGAATTCGTTGGTGGTGGCCATTTTGGAAGATGAAGATAAGGGATGTAAATTACTTTTATGCAGGGGAGATCAGAAAAAGAGAGGAGATTATGGGAGAAGAGGGGAAGAAGGATAAGAGATAAGGATGAGGAGAAGAAGAGCGATGGAGAGAGGAAAAAGAAGTAGAGAAAAAGAGGGAAAGAGAAGTTGGGAAAGATGAAATTGGGGATTTTAAATTTTGCAGGACAAGCAAGAGATGCGGTGGTTTCTGAGGCTGAACCGTCAGGCCATCCAATCCATCCATTCATCCATTCTCTTCCCTATCTTTCTGTATTCCTTATGCTGTTTGGCCTCGTCTTGTTCCTTTCTCACTCGATTTTCTCACCATTCTTTCCCTTTTCTGCCGGGTGGGTCGTCTTCTAAACCCATTCCGGAGAGAAACAGGACCCACACCTTTTACTCCACCGCATCTTTTTCTCAATCAATCTTGGCTTCTGAGTGGTGGACCAGAGATTTGGTGGGTCTATTAGTCAAAGCCAAGACTTACGGCAAAGGCGGAACAAAGTTCTTAACCAAAAGTTTTTATCTTTGGTCAGTTTCGGGATGCGTAAGCGCTTTGGCATGCCAAAACTGTTACGTGATCTACTAATCCCCCGGATTGTTACTCAATCTTCCCCAAGATTTAGCCAGGTGTTCATCAGATGACCCGGTCTCGTACTACGTCTTAGTATAGAGTAGTATACATCTGGGTATGGGGGAATAAGAGGTTGGACCGCAGAATCAGCGGAACAGCAAGTCGCCACGGTGAAGTTCCGAAGTCTGCCCGTCGTGGATGGTAACCGGGCGGGCACTCCACACGAGATCCAAACACTAGGACACGCCACGATCCCGCCTACTAGTTGGGCGCTAACCAACGGTTATTTCCATCGGAGATGCAGGGCCGAGGCGAATCCCGGGAACGGATTGCCTGCTTTGGTGCGAAAGTTGGAACAAGTTGAGGGGAGGAAAGAAGTGATAGGGAGAGAGGGAGAGGGAAAGGGAGAGAAACAGGCTGGGCCTGTATACAGATACCGCATTGAGCCATAGCTTACTGAGTACTCAACTTATATCACCTGCCAGTAAGTATCTAATAGATCTCCTACCTGGAGTTTCATACAACAGAAACCCATCCCGGCGACCTACTATGGAAGAGGTCCTCTTATCAATCCAATAGATTTGCCAGACTTCTGTAGTTTGGACTAAGTAGTATTTATCTCCCCAAATCGACCAAGTAAAATCAAGAAGATAAAGCCGAGGTGGGAAAATAATGATAAATAAAAGTAAAATGGAAAAAGAAAAGAAAAAGGATCGCCGCCTGCCGGATTACATCATCGGACATTCCAGCAAATCATCGGGTTGGCGGTGTAGTCACGAAGTACTGTTTTCGGCTTAGGCGCTTCGCCGAGGTACCTGATCTGTACATTAATGCTTCTCTTACTTTCTAATACTTTTTGAAAACATCTCTTTTTTTTCCCCCCTCCCCTCACTTTTATCATATCTATCTCTATCCCCTCTGAACCTTTTTGACTCCCCGTGCTTTTCCATTCAGTGGTTCTACAGTCCACTTCATCGACTCTCTTTCCTCCTCCCCTCTCTATCATCTCTCGCTCACCCTTCCAACCATGTCCCTCCCGTTCCCTACACGCCAACTCTACTATGATGGCAAGGTCCAGCCCGCCACTTCCGGCAAGACTTTCCAAACCATCAACCCTTCCAACGCTACCCCACTGGCCGATATTCAAGTCGCCGCTCATGCCGATGTAGACTCGGCCATCGCCGCTGCCGACCGGGCATTCCCTTCCTGGTCTCAAACTCCTGCTATCGCTCGTGCCCGCATCCTCCAGAAAGCCGCTGCCCTTCTGCGTGAGCGCAATGATGAGATTGCTCGTGTTGAAACTCTCGATTCCGGAAAGGCTTACACGGAGACGAGTACCGTGGATGTGGTCACTGGTGCCGATGTCCTGGAGTACTATGCGAACCTGGTTGGTGGCGGTGGTCTGAATGGCGAGACCACCCAGTTGAGGGAAGATGCTTGGGTATACACGAAGAAGGCCCCATTGGGTGTCTGCGCGGGTATCGGCGCATGGAATTACCCTATCCAAATGTAAGAACAACTTCCTTCTGAATCTTGATAGGACCCTTTTCCAATCAGGCTTTCGAGTGTTCAATGGGATTCTGACAAACCATATACAGTGCGCTGTGGAAATCCGCTCCATGCTTGGCTGCTGGAAACACTATGGTCTACAAACCGAGTGAATTCACCCCGCTCCACGCTCAGACGTTGGCCCAGATCTACACGGAAGCTGGTCTTCCCGCAGGTGTCTTCAACGTTGTGTATGGTGCAGGCGACGTGGGCGCCTACCTGACTGCTCACCCCACGATTGCCAAGGTTTCTTTCACAGGCCAGGTGTCCACCGGAATGAAAGTCGCTGGTTCTGCTGCCGGCAACATGAAATACGTGACCATGGAGCTTGGAGGCAAGAGCCCCCTCATTGTTCTTCCTGACGCCGAATTGGATAATGCCGTGGATGGTGCGATGATGGCCAACTTTTATAGCACTGGCCAGGTCTGTACCAACGGCACTCGCGTTTTTGTTCCCTCGAGCATGAAGGCTGCTTTCGAAAAGCGCCTCCTGGAGAAGATGCAGTACATCCGCCCCGGACCTCTGTTTGATGAGGCCACCAACATGGGGCCCCTGAGCTCAGGCGTCCACATGGAGAAGGTGGCCTCCTACATCCGTCACGGAATCGAGACGGACAAGGCCACCCTTCTGTATGGTGGGTTGGGCAAGCCGCAAGTCCCCAAGGACTTGGAGAGCGGATACTGGGTCCGACCCACTGTCTTTACTGACTGCACGGATGACATGCGCATCGTCAAGGAGGAGATTTTTGGTCCTGTCATGTCTATTCTCTCCTACGAGACTGTCGAGGAGGCGGTGAAGCGTGCAAACACCACCGAGCTGGGCCTGGCTGCGGGTGTCTTCACCAAGGACCTTAACCTGGCCCACCGTGTCATCGATCAACTGCAGGCTGGTATCACCTGGATCAACAGCTGGGGCGAGAGTCCGGCCGAGATGGCTGTCGGAGGCTGGAAGAACAGCGGTGTGGGTGTTGAAAACGGTCGTCGCGGCATCGAGGCCTGGGTGAGGAACAAGAGCACCCTGGTGGACATGAACGGCTCCGTCGCCACCGTCTTTGCTAAACTGTAAATGAAGTATGTTTAATGACCCGTCTATATATATGTCTGGATGTCTATAGGAAAAGATGAATAAGAAGTACATATATCTATCGAACAGAGCTGGGAATGTTACTATGCGAATAGTCAGTGTGCTGGTTGTATCCGCATACTAGTAGTACCAGTATCACTTACTGACTAGTATCGTTTCGTAACCCCCACATTGTAACGGGACGATACCCCTAACGATCAGACAACATACCGATGTATATATAACATGTCATTCATTCGTCTTTTTTGTACAGTCTCGGCCAATCTATGTTCGTTCAGCAATTGAAACGCCATGTAAATCCATCTAGTATCTTTCCGGGCACAAACAAGAATTTCCCAATGCATGACCGCAAAGAGACAGCACGTCTAGCTATCGATTTCGCGAAATGGATGCCAACCGAAAGAATAAACAAAATGAGTCCCAAGCAAATGACTCTCGCGCAATCTACGATTCAATCTTATCCACCCCTGGCCACCATCTACCAACATTCCGAAGTCGGTCGAATACTGCCCTCGGAGTAGAATCTCTCACGACCTTTCCCCCCCTTCAATGCGATGCAACCCGTGATCCCATGTGATCAAAGAACATGTCTCCCTTCAGAGTCGAATCTAGCCCTCCAATCGCCGAGTCAACCATACGTGAAGACATGCTGTCCGGTGTGAGTTCCTCATCCTCTACCGATGCGTTGAGTTCTGTGTTGATTCGGAGGTCCTTGGGTGCTTTCTGAGGAGGGATGTGCGACGGTTGGAGTTTTCCGACACCCACTGGGGCAGGAACGTATGTCCTGGGTCTGTAGACAAGAGGCGGACCCTGAGTACGTGCATCCGTCCCGGATTGTTCGATTGATTCAAAATAGCGGACAGTCTTAACCTTCAGCTCCAGAGTTGCATCTCGGTCGCAGACAATCAGCGCATATGGGTGTAGCTGCAGCGCTGAGAGTGTCCACATATGGTTGATGCCGCCTTCCAGGCCTTTCTCCACAGCAAGAGCCTTGTGAGCACCGGTAGCCACGATGACAACTTCGCGAGCATCCATGATAGTCTGAATACCCACGGTAAGTGACCTCCGCGGCACCAAATCCAAGTCATTGCCAAAGAACCGCGAGTTAGCCAAGATTGTGTCATATGCCAGAGTTTTGACACGAGTACGACTGCTCAAAGAGGAGCCTGGTTCGTTGAAAGCGATATGCCCGTCTGGACCCACACCACCCAGGAAGAGCTCAATACCGCCATAGCGAGCAATTCGCGCCTCAAAGGACGAACACTCAGCCGCGAGATCGGGTGCGTTGCCGTCGAGGATATTGATGTTCTGGGGCGGAATATCCACGTGGGAGAAGAAGTGTTTGTACATAAAGCTGTGGTAGGACTCCGGATGGTCACGAGGCAGTCCAACATATTCGTCCTAGTTTGGTTTAGCAAATTAAACCCTGCTCGAATAAGGGCTCCGAAGTCTTACCATATTGAAAGTTACGACATTTTTGAACGAGATATCACCGTCCCTGTGCCGGCGCACCAGAGTCTTATAGATTATCTCAGGGCTACTACCAGTCGGGAGCCCCAGCACAAAGGGGCGGTCTTCACTGGGCTTGAATGACTTTATGCGACCTAGAACAACACTATTAGCAAGTGGGCGGATATAGCAGAGAAATTAAATGTTCTGTAGAAGTATGAAGAATACGATGAAAACACGATGGGTCTCTGGACGACATACTGATGATGTAATCTGCAATGTATTCTGAAGCTTCAAGGCTAGTCTCCCTAATAATTACTCTCCTAAAGAAGGACATTAGTTTTGAATCAATGTAGAAAAGCCGCTTATCAGGGACGGATGTCATACATGATGGAAGAAATCCGAAGGAGGACGGGAATACTACTACGTCACTGATAAGGATGGAGGGGCGATAACAATGAGGGGTGTCACAAAAGCGAGGACAAAGAAATGAAATGTAAAATGAGTAATAGATGTGTGATGAGAAAATATGAATGAGGATGAAGAAGGTCAAAGGTAAGAAGATGAGAACAAGGAGAAGGAGGACTGAAGGGGAGAGGTGGTAGAGAAGTGGTTGGAGGGGATTGGATATTTTCTGAGAGATGCAAAGAGGAAAAGAAGAAGAAGAAGAATGAGGCAGGGTACCGTTGGGAGGTTAATAATGATTGTTAGACCGGCAACTCCATCCCAACCATGGCTCTGTTACAGTACAAGTTCCCATTCTATCCGGTAGGTCTGGATCGATCGACCATGTGGAGTGTGACAGAATGATACATGGACTTGCTGGACCTTCCCTCAGACCGTGTCATAGTCGGGTACTACTCCTACTAGTAGTAATAGTAGACTTTCAAAGTGAGATCTACATTGAGTCAACGCCGAGATCACCATAAAGGTAGGTGATGACGACGACCTCGCCGCTATGATACACCCAAAGAGTACGTTTGGAGTGAGGGAAAGGGTTTGTCTTTACTCATGAAATTGCGTGGGCCGAAAATTGTTCACCCAGTGTATATTCCCAGGTATCAGGTTGGTAGGCAAGTAGCTGTCCGATGACGCAGCACTTTCCAGTACTGGTAATTTCATCATTTTATCTCATTTTATCGATATGTCATTAGTAGTACTTACTTACTATGACTCCTATGAGGCTGCCAATCAGAGTACTGCATTAGCATCAAGGCAGCTGCAAAAGAACCCGAATGGGTTAGCCGAGAGACAGGGAGGTAAAAAAAAAAATGAAATGAGAAAGGCGATTGTCACCGAATGGTATCATCAGCAGCAGCAACGTGATGTTGCAGAAGGGGGTGGCATGGGGCGAATCGGCTTGAGTAGATGCTCAAAGAAGCTTGCCAAGGAGGACATCCCCGAGGCAGGTGACCGTGGTGTGGCATATCTACTAGTGACTACTAGTTACTATCATGTTGGATGATAACACTGATAAAGAGTTGAAGAGAGGGGGCGCCTAACCTGACGGGGCAGCGTCCCAGTGCTTCCGTTCCATTCAATTGGTTCAAAGACTGTTGGCGGGCGTTGCCGTTGCATTCGGCCATCGCGGCAAACCGGGGAAACAAGCCCTGTGTGTCACAGACCCATGCAACCCTCCAGGTTCCCTACGCTGTGACCAGTTGGTAAGGTATGGTACAAAAATACCCGTCCGAGAGACTACGTACGGTATGTATCAGACTGGAAATAATTTTCATCTGTCACTGTTTCGGTATCGTAATGTTAATGTATCTCTGGTACACCACGTGAGCGCTTTACACAAGATTATCCAGCGGAACATTATTCTTCCAGCACATGGGGGGCTGGATGTGCCAATACCGAAGACCGGTGCAGGGAGGAAGGATGCCATCCATGTTGATTCGACTATCATTCTATCTACTACTACTAGATGGACAAGAACAGGATGGGCATCATCCATCTATGATCTATCTCCCCCCAAAAGACCTCTTTTAGGCTTTAAAGCTCGGTCTACAAGGCCATATACCCTGACTTCTAGAAACTTAACCTCCATTCCCTTGGAGTTGTTGGCTTCCTTCACACCCGTTGTCAGTTCAGTCAGACAGACTGACTGACTGACAGGTAGTAAGTAAGTACTAGCCTGTTAGTCAGGACCTCCCATCCATCCTGTGAAATTGGACTGGACGGAGGCTGGCTCAACTGGCCACTCATCATCTGATTCCCTCTCCGATCCGCCCGGGCTTTATCTGATCCATGAAGCTTGCGAGCTAAAGCAAGAGGGTAGCTTGGTATCAACTGCCGGCGCCGGCGCGCCTGTCCTGTCCGCCCACAATTCTTTGACGTTTGCAACCGACTACCTTATTGACTGGGACTCCCTCGATTCCGTCCGATTCAAGTGGTTGCGTTTCCGTTCCATACCTACAGTGCCTTTTTTTTCCCTTATCAGTCCTACTACTATCATACTACTGTCCATACTACTATTACTACTCTATTACTTTTGCTGCTGCTACTGCTGCTACCACCTTACCCCATCCATCATTCCGAAACAAGATTGCCTGCCTTTCTCTGCCATTGCACCCGCAACATTCCTTCCCACGCCGGGCTCTCATGGCCCCCAGAGAGGACATGTTGCCGCCTGGCTGGGAGGATCTAGACAGGTAGGAGTGTACTAGCCTTGGCATTCCCTTTTTCGATCTAATTTCTATTATTCGATCCCTTTCTGTCTCTTCTGTCATTGATCCATCTGATACACCCCCCAAGTTACCATTACTTGCTTAACCATCTGTTGCACATATCTTCTGTACTCGTCTGTTTCGTCGGCTCATTCCTGCCATGCATCCCATCCATAATCTAATCTTTCTCCTTATACCGCCTCCCTCTCAACTTTGATCCCTTCGGAACCCCCCCCCCAACCCAACAACCTTCCGTCTCATCGTTGCATTTCTTTTCCATTGATCATGGCTGACGGTTAGGCTGTCACATCGTCCCTCGGCAGGCAGATGGGCCAGCTATTTATGATGGGCTTCGACGGAACGTCTGTTAGCCCTCAGATCCGCTCATTGATCAAAGACTACCATCTGGGCTCGGTCCTACTCACTGCCAAGAATCTAAAATGTATCTTCGCACCTCACCCTTTTCATCACTTATCTTTCCCCGATGGATAGTAGATGCCTTGCAGTCGTGTCTCTTACCTTTTTTCATAACTCGGATGCTGATTCACGTCTAGCTGCCGAGGATGCAACGCGACTGGTCCTGGAACTCCAGACAATTGCCCGGGATGCTGGCCATCCGGTGCCACTACTCATCGCTCTCGATCAAGAGAACGGAGGCGTGAACAGTCTGTATGACGAGATATACATCCGACAGTATCCTAGCGCCATGGGGATCGCCGCTACAGGTTCGAAAACTTTGGCCCACGAAGTCGCAACGGCCACTGCACAGGAGCTTAAGGCTGTCGGGGTCAACTGGATCCTCGGCCCAGTTCTAGACGTACTCACAAACGTACGGACCCAGCCTCTAGGCGTCCGCACCACCGGTGACGATCCGCAAGAGGTGTCGCAGTACGGTGTGGAGTTCATGAAGGGCTACCAGAAAGCAGGTTTGGTCACCTGTGGCAAGCATTTTCCGTCATATGGTAACTTGGAATTTCTCGGGTCTCAGACTGATGTCCCAATCATCACGGAGTCCCTGGAACAGCTCAGCCTCACCGCTTTGGTGCCTTTCCGCAATGCCATTGTCCAGGGGCTGGACTCCATGATGGTTGGGGGCGTTTCAATGTCCTCCGCCGGAGTCAACGTTATGCATGCCTGTCTGAGTGAGCAAGTCGTCGATGATCTGCTACGGAAGGACTTAAAATTCGAAGGCGTTGTCGTTTCGGAGTGTCTGGAAATGGAGGCCCTCACCCACAACATTGGTGTTGGCGGAGGAACGGTGATGGCCAAGAATGCAGGCTGTGATATTATACTCCTCTGCAGGTCGTTCCAGGTGCAGCAAGAGGCTATCAATGGCCTAAAACTCGGCGTGGAGAACGGTATTATCGGGCGGGCACGCATAGAGCAATCTTTACGCAGGGTTCTCAACCTAAAAGCCAAATGCACCTCCTGGGAGCGGGCCCTCAATCCTCCCGGCATCCCTTCGCTTACGCAGATGCAACCGTCTCATACAAGCCTCTCCACCAGGGCATACAATAGCTCTATCTCAGTTGTGCGGGATAAAAAGAACCTCCTTCCCCTTTCCAACATTTTGGATTCAAACGAAGAGCTGCTTTTGCTCACGCCATTAGTGAAGCCGCTGCCTGCTTCAGCCGTATCCCGCTCCGTGAGTGAGCACCCAAATATGTCGCTCGATCCTATATCATGGGACCGGACGGCTTCCGTGCTAAGCGGCGAAAGCGTCTTCAAGGAGCTTGGACGGTCCCTTTCGCGGCAAAGGAGCGGCCGTGTCTTGCACACATCCTACACGGCTAACGGCGTGCGTCCGATCCATGAAAATCTCATTGACCGGGCCAATGCAGTGATCGTTGTCACTGCAGACGCTAACAGAAATTTATACCAGCATGGATTTACTAAACACGTCTCCATGATCTGTAGATCACAATTTACCCCATCTGGCGAAGCTCGCGAGAAGCCTCTCATTGTTGTCGCTGCCAGTTCTCCATACGACTTCGCCATGGATCCATCTATTGGAACCTATATTTGCACTTACGATTTCACGGAAACCGCGTTGGAGGCCCTGGTCAAAGTACTCTATGGGGAGTTGAACCCCGTTGGCTCATTGCCTGGTTCTATAAGCCGCAGTCAGAAGCTGCACCAAGCAAGACAACACTGGCTGGTAGAAACTTGGAATGAGGAGAGAGATGCGCGCTCTTTAGATTCTCTTTTGGATGCGGTCAGAGGAGATTGTGCCCAGGGACAACGTTCCGAATTATTGGGAGTAACGTCGAGCAGCTTCCTGCTTCGGCGGGAGGAGATTGACGAAGCGCATTTCGTCGTTCGGAACAGCAGCACCCAAGCATTGTACGGCTTTTGTTCTACGTACTTCTTTCGCTCCACGGGGACTGGTGTTATTGGATCTTTGATCGTCCATCCTGCGCGACGAAAGTTGTCGATAGGAAATTCACTCCACAGCCGCGCCATTCGAACACTTCTCCAGCGAAAAGGCGTGAAAAGGTTCCAGCTCGGATCACGACTTCCAGGGATTTACCTTGGCATCCCATCGGCGAACCCAGTAGAGCGTAAAAGGCTGCGGCAATGGTTTGCAAACCTGGGCTGGAACACGGCGCTCTCGCGGCCCGTTTGCAGCGTGGTGCTCCGCAACCTGATCACTTGGACGCCACCCGACGGGCTAGTCTTTGGCCTCCAAAATGCAGACGTGACCTATGACCTCGTCCATGGCTGGGATTACGCGGATTCCATCCTTGACCATATCAAGACGAACTCCAGGCAAGGTGTGATAGACATCTACAGGGTAGCTCTAGGAGGGGCTCCACATTGTGGCATCATTCGGGCTACACGGCCTGGCGATGGGGCTATCCTGGGAAGCGTAGTCATATATACCGGACGGGCGACCTTGGCGGAACATATGCCCGCGTTGAAGTCTACCCAAGTCCCGGCAGGGGGTATCTCATCTCCAGTCATTTCTCCTTCAGTTGGCGAGTACGCCACAGTCATGCAGGGGCTGGTCTTGCTAGGCATCAAGCAGATTCGCAAACAAGGCGCCGAGGCGGTGATCATGGACAGTGTGAGTTACTATACCGTTTGGTTGGTGTTC